GTTAGTCAAGGTTGGACACAGGAAGGGCTTCCAAACACACAGAGAAATTCATTAATCCTAAATTATAAAGGGAGGTTCTTTAAAAGAACCAAGATGCCTGTGAGAGTATCCTGAGCTTTTGTTTTTGTTTTTGTTTTTGATACAGAGTCTCACTCTGTCTCCAAGGCTGGAGTGCAGTGGCGTGATCTCGGCTCCCTGCAACCTCCACCTCGCGGGTTCAAGCAATTTCCTGCCTCAGCCTCCTGAGTAGCTGGGATTACAGGGGCCTGCCGTCATGCCCGGCTAATTTTTGTATTTTTAATACAGACGTGATTTCGCCATCTTGGCCAGGTTGGTCTTGAACTCCTGACCTCATGATCCACCCACCTTGGCCTCCCAAAGTGGAGGGATTACAGGTGTAAGCCACCATGCCCGGCCTATCCTGAGCCTTTTGAAGCTGAAACCAGTGGTGGGCAACCCAGCCTCTCCTGACTGACCATGAAGAGGCCCTTGTTGGGTAGTCTCTCAGCCTGCAGGAGCGAGGGATCTGGCCCCAAGAGATGCCCCAACAGTGGGCCACTTCCCAGGACTGTCAGGAAAATCCAAGCCTAATTCAATGTTGATTTTTTACTAGCAATGAATGATGGACAAGGTCTCCATTGCTCAAGGCCCTGGGAAAATCTAGACTAGAGAAAACGATCACCGACTTCTACCCACACCTGTGGGGCTCAGCTCTTCCCTCTGGTCCATGGTTGCCGTAGTAATCCTTTGTAAAGTTGTTTCCCCAGGGTTCCCTGGAGTCCTCTGAGTCACCATAACTCTGGGGTCAACAGAAGTGGAGAGGTGACAGGAGACACTCCCGTACCCTGGCTGCTCCCACGTGTTCCTGGCAGTAACCTGTCTGGGAAGCCTCGCCACCCCTGTGCCTATCTACGGAGTTCTGGAGTGATCCCCAGTTAGGGCTCCTGCCAGGGTTCATTCCGACTTCTTCCATGGCCGAAAATCCACATCTAAGTCCCCAACACTGGCTAAAAGACCCTGTCATGGGGTGCCGTCTGTCCCAGTTCACATTGGAGGAAGGATGGTGGGGGAGGCAGAAGCTACCTGGAGCTCAGGGACTCTCCTCCATTCCCACCTGGCTCCTCCTCTTTGCTGGTGCTGGAAGGAGCATGGGGAAAGTGGTGTCTCCACCCTCCCTTGGCCCCAGCTTTCTCAGAACTGGTATCATTGATGACACCCCTCTTGGATCCTCCCGCAGCCCTGCCCGGAGAACAGTCCACAGCCCAGTGCCCTCCCAGCAGATGATGAGTCTGGGCTGCTGGTTAGGTAATGCTTCGGGAATGACGGCAGAAAAAGGAGGTCTGTCTTCTGCTCTGAAAGACGGGAGACGGCAGGGCCCCAGTATTCACATCCTGGGCTACAGGGCTGTGGGTTTTCAATGTTGGTTGCCAACACCACAGCCAACCACTTCTAGAAGCGTTTGCTTGTTTCCTTGCTTGTGTTTCTACAGCGTCAAGTGCTAGATGCTCTTAAACTCAGCGGGGGATGATTTCAGTGCCCGTGAGGATGTTCTTTCCTGCTCTCACCTTTGGGGGCATCTGATGCTTGTGACCTCCAGATGGTATTGAAATAGCCCCAACTCTGGGCACCAGGAGACAGGAGGCTCAGTCCTGGCCTTCTCTGCCTTCGCCTTGTCCTGCTGTGAGGTTTCTACAAGGCACCCCATGCCACTGGGCCATTCTCACCTGGGAATAGAGAAAGAACAAGCTGCCCCTTATGGAAAGACAAAATGAGGCAAAAGGCCCCTTGTATTGCGGGCAGAATCCCTGCACTCAGAGGGATTTAGAAGCTGAAATAACTGGGTTGGGAGCGGTGGTTTGCGCCAGTGATCTCAGTATTTTGGGAGGCCAGGGAGGGTGGATCACCTAAACTCAAGAGTTTGAGACCAGCCTGGCCAACATACTGAAACCCCATCTCTACTAAAAGTACAAAGTGCCTGGCATAGTGGTGGGCGCCTGTAATCCCAGCTACTAGGGAGGCTGAGGAGGGAGAATCACTTGAACCCAGGAGGTGAAGTTTGCAATGAGGCAAGATCATGCCATTGCACTCCAGACTGGGCAACAGAATGAGACTCCATCTCAAAGAAAATAAAATAAATAAAACTGAAATAAAGAAACTAAAATAACTAAATAACTGAGTAGCACCACACTATCTGTTCTGGAGAAAGGACTTTTTTTTTTTTTTTTATCCAGGGCATCTTTCCGCGTGACCTGTTCTGAGTTCCAAAGCTGGGGAAGAGATTCAAACCTTCAAGAGTTCTTACAACTTTCAGGTACTCTGATGATTTCAGGGCATAGACGAAGCGCTTGTGGTCCGTGTCTGTCCCCGGGATTTCTGTTTCTTGGTTTGTATCTCTGCTGCAGGTCCAAGGAGCTGGGCAATACCTCGAGTCTGGGTTCTTCCTCCCCAGGGACCTGGGGGAGCCCCCAAGACTCAGGGAAAGGGGAGAGCAAAGTGTGGGGTTGGTTCCCTCTAGTGGTCAGTGTTAGCACTGCATCCAGCTGCCTCAGACGGGCCCGGAAGGAATCAGCAAAAGTGCAATTGAAGACTGAATGGTGCCCAGAACCCCCACAATCTATTGCCTGCGCTTGGGCCCTTTTCCCAACACACACATTCTCTCTGCTGTGTGGAGGGGAAACATGGGGGGAGGAGGAAAGGGATAGGATAGAGAGTGGGATGGGGTCTGTAGGGGTCTCAAGGACTGGCTATCCTGACATCCTTCCCCACGTTCAGGTTGGCCACCATGGTGTGCTGCCAGAGGACACCCACATGACCCTTAAAGAGAGGACAAGTTGGGTGGTATCGCTGGCTGACCCTCTGCACAACCCTCACAATGTTGGTGACGGTGGGAAGGGAAACATGACAAGCCAGGGGGCATGATCCCAGCATGTGTGGGAGGAGTTTCTAAATTAGCCACTAGCACAGGCATGTCAGTGGCCCCATGCGTAAACGTACAGAGAAATAGGTGGGGTCAAGCAGCAAGAGATAAGGGGCCAGGGTATAAAAAGGGCCCACAAGAGACCAGCTCCAGGATCCCAAGGCCCAACTCCCCGAACCACTCAGGGTCCTGTGGACA